CCATCTCCGATACCATCGTGTTCAGGAGATGGGTAGGGCTTCAACATACGAATCTGGGGAGAACACAACTCAGTTCATAGCAACAACTCTGCTCTTTGTACTATATTGTCGTGTCAGAGGGAGAGGTTTCAGGCTCGAAGAAGGGCTAAGGCAATGGTTTCGATCTCTTTCTGCCGTCTTCCCTTTCCTGAGCCTCTGAGCCCATCTTCCCTCATGTGCTGTGATTCTTAACCTTCCTCTGAGCAACATGACACTCCCCCCCCCAATACTCCTTTCCAGTACTGGATCTTAGGGGGCTACTAGATGTTTCTCTCCATGTTTAGGGTGATTTTTCAGGCTGGCAGGACATACATACAGTTGGGGTTTGAAACTGATTGCTCAGAGGTGAGTCGAACCCAGAATCAGTCAAAGCTGTTGAAAACCAGAGTTTCTGTTACCCATGTCTTGAACCGTTCCTCCTCTGGCTTTCTCTTGGATGATGGTGAGAATGGAGATGGGCTTTCACATCATAGAGACAACTCAGAGTGTAACTGAGAACATGAAACGCAGCCCAGGCACACGTGTAGTCTGGTCATCCAAGTTGCATAAAGTGAGCTGACCTGCACATGTTCCCACATCTGCACGTGCCTACGTGGAAACAAACACAGCTGCCCTTATTTTAGTAATTACAGCCGACACAGACATGTACGGTCTGGTTACATTCGAATAGACAGTTGGGTTTTGATGTTCCTTTTCTCTTTTCTTTTGGGAAACTTGTTTGCAGAATAGATCCATAAACTCCACAGGGTTCAGGCATGACCAGTGGGGAGGGTGTGTGTGTATGTGTGTGTGTGTGTGTGTGTGAGAAGGTGGAGGGCACAGGCCGGTAGGAATATAGGGAAGAAGATGTGGAAGGAGAAAATAGGTAGCTATTCTCAAGCCCATTTCCCAATCAATTTTCGTAGCTCTGTGTGCCAGAATATCTGTGCCAGCTTCAATAGAATTTTTAACTTGTTAATAGAAGGGTAGCTTTTGGATTCAGGGAGACTGGGGATCAAGGTTAGATTAGTTGTGGGACCTTGAGCAAAGCACTTTGTTTTTCGAAATCTCTATTATTTTCTTTTATAAAATGAGGGCAATAATAGCATCAACCTGATGGTGGTTGGATGGGCTGAGATAATGCTAAAACTGTCATTGAGTACAGCATCCAGGGCATCGTAAACTTTAGCCATTATTATCTTGTTATTGTGAAAATTTAGCAATACTATAAGTGATAAATGATGGTGAGTACCACCCATGGGAGCACAGGGCAATGGGACGAATTTGTCCATGAAAAGTATAAAGATTTCTCTATATACTTGGATGAGGTGAGCTAGCTTTGAACCAGAAAGGACCAGGATGGGCTCTTGCGAGAACTTGCTGCACTTGCCGTTTGGATGAGGCTCAGCTCTTTCAAGGAGAGCCAGCTGTGTCTCCTTTCCGCAGAGCAAAGAGCAAGAGGAAATGACTCTCTAGTTCTCCATTCTACTCAAGCCAAACAGTAATAAACTTTGTTGGATTATCCAAGTCCAGGGTCAGAGCTTCAATCAATCAGCCCTCTGGGTCACCCCAGCCGGCCTGACCATCTTTCTAGCTGTGGAGTTAGTATATCCCCTAGGAAACGTGACTTCATTTAAATATTAGCCAATTCAAAGGATGAGCAGGAAGGTAGAAGTTTCATGTAACTGGGCCTTGAAATTAAGTCATTGCACACAATTGGTCCTTTCTTTTAAAACATGGCACTGAAAATGCCCTCCAGGTTAAATTTTTGTAGGTAGACTTGGGGGTAGCTATGAGGGAGAACTTTGGACTAAGGATGGTGGGGTTCTAAAACACATTATTATTAGATCAAGAGAAGGGTGCGGAGACCTTTAAATTCATCAGGAAAATCACAACTCGATAAAGTGGCAAATTTCCCCCAGAAAAAAGTCAGTGCACATGGTCTGTCGATATGAAGACCATAAATCCGAATATTTTCCATGGAAACTGCCTTAGAAAGCAGGGCTTACACATTGTTATATCCCTAAAGGCATGGAAAAAAAAATGACCTTTTGGAGTGGATATTGTCTAGTGAAATCCCTGGTCATTACCACCTACCACGTGCCTGCTCTGACTCTCCATTTGTTCTGGCCTGGGCCGGGCCTGCATGTCTTCTCAGTTTAAATTCTCTAAGGGACATTGATGTGGTTTTTAATGCCCCCCTCCAGCCTTGGTCCTGATGTGGCTGCCTTTTGGCAGTGGGAGCGAGTCTGGATTAGAGGTTTGGGTTTCATGAGCTTTTCCAGGAACTGGAGTGGCCAAACTCTGTGACACGGGAGCACACTTTTCTTAAACATTGTTGTTAGCCAAC